CTTTAAGAATTGGTACTTTTCGAGATCATATCAATCCTGTCTTTAATATAAACAGTGTTTGAGATTTTAAGTGAAATACTTTGTGATAAATCAAGTCCCTTCATGTAGTTATGTGAAACAGCGTCAATCTGTATTGGTGATATCCCTCTATCATTCTTTCATCTTACAAGGATTTTAAATGTCATATTTTAGTGCAGTAAACGTATAATTTACCCTTCAAATTACAAAGAAAAAATTATAACGCCTTGAGACTACTTTATTTTTAATTCAAATCCCAGATATAATAAGCTTGAGACCAATGACTGTTTCGGAAAGGCTAATATAGGTGATCTTATATTATATAGGGTCTATATATATAAATAGCTTGTTAATAACTTATAAAAAATAAAATAACAAAAATACCGAACTCCATGGAAAATTCAAAACGGAATGTCCTATATCAAATGGCAAAATCAAAAGTTCGAACACATCAAACGAATGGAAAACAACACTGTCATATTCCTGACTTGGTACAGGCATTTCCTCATGTAGAAAATGGTGGATGGATTTAATCTGGTTCTATAGCTTGCTAAAAAAACCTTATGAAGGTTCTCAAAATGATATATGAGTTTGTTTCGAGGTAAGAATTACATTTTTCAATTGAGAATTTTTTCCTTTCAGGTTTTTATTCTGTTCTATCGAAATTCACCATAATTTGCTAAATAAGATGTTTCTACCTGTTCTTAACATCTGGGTATTTCTAGATATCGACCACAGGTTACATTTTGTAAGTATAAAAGAATAGCCCATGATATACACATTTCAAATCGAATGATCTTAATGTTCCTTTGTACAGCCTATGTTATGGTTCTACTGGAATCAACTTTACCAAAAATATTGAAATTATACGAAGGGGCTAAATATATTAACTGTAATCTTTTCTTTCTTTTTTGGTAGTATGCAAAAGAGTGTTTTTGTGGTAACGGTAGCAAATTAGGTCATGCACCGTATTTTAATACCTCGAATTCTGAATGTAAAACGAACTGTCTAGGTCATGAAAGTGAAAAATGCGGTTCGGACTGGAAGATGTCTGTTTATCAAATGATAAAACGTAAGTTTTTTACTACTTAAAATTATATATGCCTTAAACTCTATCTAATCTTATCTAAGATATGTATATCCTACCGTAGTCTATAATCGGTCATCATGTCGGTTCGTTCGGACTTTGTTATTATACTTATCACACGAGAAAACTCCGCATTGACGTCACTACGCTAATACCAGCGTACAAAATTAGTGCAGAATACATTTTTTCTACTCTTCTAAATAAACAAACATTTCTAAAGATATGTTTTCATTGTTAGTCTAAAGTATTGTACAAAAATGCCAATTTTCTAATGGCCGTTTCAAACCTGACTTCCGAATGCCTAAAACCATTCCAGAACTTCAGAAATCCCCTCTTCCGGCCTCCATTGCTTTGTTTACATTCCATTTAGCGTCATCAATCTTAATGGCAGACCAAACAGGCCAAGCAAATCGTATTTTTAAGAATTTCAAAATGGCAAGCACCTTACGTCTTAATCGATTTTCCCGCGAAAAAAAACATCCAAATTGAAAGAAAAACTTTGGGAAACAAACGATAATCATGTCATATTTTTGTTCAGGAATATAAAGTAGGTTAATAAAAAACAATATACATATATTTTTCATTAAAAAAAAATTGGTTCAATATAAAGAGATCGATATTCTGACCATAAGTAAATATTCATATGAAATTCCATTGATATCAAATTTCATGGCTAATAGTGAGGTTTCCTATTGAATAAACCCCCAATTTATTGGAAACTATTTCAAAGCAATATCATACAAACAAATGATATAATTGCCTTGTACTAAAAAATCACCTATTTGACAGTAGAGCAATTTGATTGGACATAACGATTCAATGTGTCACGTGGTTTTGAAGCCATTAGAATTTGAATGTAAACAAACCGGGTCAGCTGCTGCAGTATGGAACAACATCGTACATTCAGTGACTGAGAAACAATAATGAGTAACTTAGCTTGACAATACATAGTAATAAAAAAAACAAAGCTAAGTCTACAGAAAAATAAAATAAAAAATGGCCTTAAGTGCACGACTTACCACCATTACGGGATATGTATTAATTTATATAAATGTTATTTACCTCCTATTGAATTTAACAGCATATACAAGACATAGTTAAATGATATGTGTTTCTTTTTTTTTTCTTTTTTGTGAGTGTCATTAAATGCAAACAATCAAATAAATTTTCCCTCAGTATTGTTCATTTCTATATTTTAATATGTGTAATGTTATAACCTCATGTTGCCCCTTAAGGGCCCTTTAATTTGGAATAAAATATATTCTATTTTATTTTATTATACTTCATATCAAAATGCCAGATTATGATTGGTTAATACGAGGGAGACAATTTACTTTATCCTATGGTAAATTCTCTATTACCCTTCACGGACACGCTTGATCAAGTGTGCGCTTTATTAAATACGGATGGTTGTTATGTACAAGACGTCATAGTTTATTAATTTGAATTTGAAATTTAATAGACAGTACAGTATAATAAATTAAATAACACATATCTTAGGGAGGGTGATAGAGCAGATTGTTACCCCTCGAAAAGACATTGTCAACCTTGGCTTCGCCTCAGTTGACAATGTTTTCTAGGGGTAACAATCTGCTCTTTCACCCTCTCAGCTATGTGTTATTTATGTACTATTCTATAATCAAAATTCATTATCCTTGTCAAATATTCGTTCATTGACATAAATATAGTGTACATAAATATCGTTCAAAAGGCAAAAGTTTTGGTGTGGCATACAAGCTTATACTAGCTGCAGTTTTGCAGTGAAGAAAGCAACACAGAAGGAGAATTACGATTTCATGCATAATAAGGCATTTCGAAAATTTAAATAATAAAAATGGTTGTCGTGATTCTGCGAACTGGATGACTTGCGGAAGATGTGAACGACCATAGGATACATTCAACCAAATCTATTTAAGGCCGTGACATAATCTTGCAGTTGAGGTACACAACACCATTAAGAATATACCAAACACGGGTCTCAATTTTCCGGAGGGATATTTTCTGTAAGATTTCTGTCCCTGTGATTTTGATGGAAATCACAGACGTTCGTGTGTTTCATTTCTATCAGTACATGCAATACATAAACAATGTCATATCTATTTTCTTGTCAAACTGTATGCTACATTTGTAGTAACAACTCCGTGTCCATAGGTAATGTATTATCTTTACATTTAGAGGGATATGATATATTTATTTTCAAGAATATACAATTTAGTTACTTTTAAATAAAAATCCTTTACATACAAAATTTCTTTATAGTCATGTCTTATTCATTTCAGGCAATCATAACTATTCATGCTTAGACATAGCCAAGGAACATAAAGTCATAAATTGCAATACTAATCAATTACAAGAGAACAGTGTGTGTATAAAATTCGACGCTTCTCTAGGAAATCAAGACCCCAGTTGTAGCGACACCGGAAACAAATTGTATGATTTTTGCAGAAGTAAGCACCCGAATGGAAAATGTGTCTTTAATATGATAAACATACTAAATGAAAAAAACAAAAATCAACCGAGTAGGAGTATTTCAATAGAGTATTTATGCAAAGGTATGTATTACAATACAATTTTCTTTTAACATTTTTTTATGAAATGATTATTTTTTATTACACAAATAATTCACTTTCCAGATATGTTTCTTTAGTCAATGTCGTACTTTCAAAAGGCATAAATAAAGATTAATGAATACATGTAATATTATCCTTAAACAACTTAGTTGCAATTAACATCCTGTTTCCCAAAACTAATTATTGGATACTTGGTCACATTTAAACGTAGAAGAGTCTTTTGAAGCAGTTTATCGAGATAAGGATAAGGTACGCAAACTTTTAAGGGTTCGTGGAGCTTTTTAATTTGAACAAAAATGAAGAAATGTAGGTATGATGCTTTTATCGGTTTTTTTTTTTTTTTTTTTTTTTTTTTTTTTTAAATATTTTCAAACTACAGAAAGAAACCAAAAGGATGAATGGGGAATAGAAATAAGGTCTATATGCGACTGTAATACAAATGCTCTAGAGGCGAACACCTTTGAAATTTATAAATTCGGAGACACGTGCGGTAAGGATTAGAATAGTACATCCAATATCTTATGTAGGCACGGTCTGTGTAGGCTAAAACACATGCAACAGATTTGAAAATGGGCCGAAAATAACTTTGGTAAGGCTCAATTCATAAATGACATCACCGAATGCGAATCATCATCTTGTTGTTAGGTGGATGCCACTAGTGGGGGATATAGTGCATATCTTTTAGGGGCGACTGAGTGTGTCCCGGTTTTAATAGGGTTCGTGGTGCTAAATCTGTATGAATAATATGAGATGCGGGGTACACTTCAATTGGATATCAACCAACTGACAAAAACAACCATCCTGAAGGCAACATAAGTTTTCAACAATAGACATCTGTCTTAACATACAAAACAAGACAAACGTTGTAAGATCGGGAATCGGAAATAAGTGAATATATCCTGATATGCATGGGTCACTCGTTTTCAGATTCTAATGCCATTTGAAATACCATGATTCACAATGAGAACCATGAATAAAAGTAAATTTAGCTTGTTTAATACGTGTTTCTGAAATAAATTTTATATGGAAACTTTGTATGATACATCAACGATTGTGATCGCTAAAACCAAAATTATCTTAACAGGACAACCAAATCGTCAAAGTAAAAAATGATTGCATTTTAATGATTGCATTTAATGAGGTCACCTCGGTTTTTGATTAGGTTCTTATTGTTAAATCTGTATATTATATGTGATGTTTTTAGACAATGCATATTTTCTCTGTCCTTTTGGTCTTTGATTTGTCTGTCTGTTTTTTATAAATATCTTTTTTTGTTCTCCCTTGGGAATGTTCTTAATTCTTATCAAATGAATGTTTTCTTTCAAATGCATCGTACTACTGGCAACAAGTTAGGTGGTAATCTCAGGAGGTGACAGTCATACAGCAGCAGTAACGAACCAGGGGTAGTAATACAAATTTATATAGCCGATTTAATTCCGATTGTCACATATTTTTATACGAACTTTCACGTAGACCCAAAATTTGACCAGTAAATTTTCTGTCGTTAATATCTCTTTGCATTGTAATGGACAGTTCCTGTTGATATCACCTAAAACATAGTAATACATTGGAGTTGATCAGATTTTACTTTTATCAAACAGGCACATGTATCCTTAACCCAGTCTCCTTAAGCTTACGAGAAAAAAAATAATTAAGATAAGAACAATGTACATCTTAGTTCAAAGAAGAGGCGAAATATTCCAAAGGAACATTCAAACTCATAAGTCGAAAATAAGCTGACAACGCAATGGCTGAAAAAGAAAAAGACCAACAATCAACAGTAAAAAATCACAACATAGAAAAATAAAGACGGAAGAGCACGAACCCCACAAAAAACTAGGGGTGATCTCAGGTGCTCCGGAAGGATAAGCAGAGCCTGCTTCGCATATAGGATTCCTTCGTGTTGCTCATGTAAGTACAAACCCGGTGATAAATCTAATTCGGTTGGTCATATTAGGGGAAAAGGGGACGATATTGTAGTTATGACAATTGGAATATATCCGTCGTCATCTGTGAAACATATATTCCATAACGGACAACCAACTCGTGATGGAGTCCGTAAAACTTACGAAGGGAATTCTTGGTTAAAATGCTTCCTTGTGAGCAGCAACCCTCTGTGAAGAAAATCATGATAGCAAATAAATGCCCTGGAATTCTGTTTTAATTGGGGATATATACTCCGTATGCATGTGCTGCTGGAATGTTGCTACATAGAAATAGAAAGTTCACAATTAGGAAGCTGAAATCATCTTTTTTGTCGTAAAGTTTTGTTTTCAACCGACCCTCGTTGTCAATTTCTAGACGTAAGTCAAGATATGAGGCAGACTTAACTGTATTTGTTGTATCCTTTATCTCGAGTTCGATGGGATAGATGCGTTCAACATAGTCACCAAATTTTGAATTATTTAGTGAGAGAACATCATCTATATAGCCGTAAAATAGTAAAGGGGTCATTCGGTTCGATTTAAAGACATCCGTTTTGAGGTAAACGGTAATTTCTGATCGTAAAAGTAAATTTATTTGGTATTTGATATGTACTAATGAGTACTGATAACTTATTCAAATTGTAATTAAACTCATCATAGATATAACAATGTTTATATATTCATTAGACAAAAATAACTTTAGATGGAAGAAGGTGTTAGGTATAGAACGTTAATAACAAAGCAACATTTAAAACCATAAAACGACATAGATTCTAAGACATGAAATATATGTATGTGTACATATAGTTTAAAAAAAGGATTTCAACAACATTATCATCCAAAGTCATTTGTTGTATTCGTACCTTGAAATATATATTTTTACTGGATTCCGTTCTCAAACGGCAATAAATTACACTAATAATGTGTGACGACTTTCCAAATTGAACAAATTAACACTCAGTCTATGCTTCACTGTTCCATTTACAGAACAAAGTTCAGCAAGCAGTTCAACAAAGAGCAGTTTGACAACAGGTACGTAAAAAATAAATATATTAAATTCATTTGAAAAAAATGATTTTAGCTCATTCAATTTAAAAGCAAATATTTACAAAATACAAATTAAAATATGGTATTGGCCTATAAAGTTTTTTGATAATTTGAATCATTTCCTCACACCTGGCACAGAAATATAAAGAATAATTTTAACTAAATACAATGTGTACAGCAAACATAGAGAGTTTTGACCGGATAGGTAGAACTCAATAGATATTAATCTGCTTGTTTTGTATTTACAGGAGACAGTTCAACAAGCAGTTCTCCACTAAGTAGTTCTGATAATTTACCAGCTAGTATGTACACTATTCAGATTTCAAATATATGTTCATTTCTATATGAGACCTATAACTATTCCCCATTCGCCCTGGACAACGGACAACAGAGAGAGAGAGCACAGTAATACATTCAACTATTTGGATTAAGATTTACAAAAAGGATTACCCAATTTACTGAGAAACGAATAAAAAGGACCATTAAAACAATATTTTTGCAAAAGATTGTTTTGATTAAAACTGCAAAACATAAATTAATAAACACATGTCTTGCTGTTTGGAATTTGACGATTTCTGTCCTATGTAGCTATAAAGCCACTCTTACAATATTCGAATCTAAAATATTATAATTCATCATTCTAATATTATTAATATGTAGTAAAGACCGTTTATAATTTACCATTCATGAACTTAGGTAATTGTCCAATGTTTAGTTCATTTTGGCCTGTGTTTATTAGTGCTTAATGCTACCGAATGATTGCTCAAAACGTTGTACTATTCTATTTGATTTTCAGTTATCCGCAACTATAAGTACAAAGCAAACGGTTTGTTTAGTATATGAAGACAATGATACTCGACCAGCACATGCTTGACTTCACCCCACTTTACCGTATTATCGGTCGTCCCACTGTCTGTATCAAACTGCTCAGCTCTCAATTAAACTGCATATCACGACTTTGTGACGTCAACTACGATGAGCCGGCCTTAACAAATTTGACCCGGACATATCACCGACGTCATAATGAATGAACTTACGTTGATAAGTTGGACCCAAACTCATCAAGTCTTCTTCCGGTTTGCTGATGAAACAAAGAAAACATTTGTTGCTATCATAAAAAATACGCAATTACAACCAGATAAATCGATTATCTGCTTGTCTGAATAATTATATTCTAAAATATCAATATGCAGGCAACCTCATAATCGATACGTACATGTACAAAAGTATCAAGTAATATAACTTTTTGTTCATGAGCATACTTACTTTTAAAGTATATGATTCGTTGTGACATGCAGATGTAAGTAAAAGTAAAACTTTGTCGATTCTACGGTAAAATCTATGTTTGTTTTTCTCTTTAAGGTTGGTCAGATTAGTAATTGGCAATGTATTGAATCGCGTCCTCTTTTGAACGGTGATGAATAATACATGTATGTATTACGCATTTCCATTCTTCAGAAAATAGTTCGGCTTTTTTTTTTGTTATTTTGTCTTCTGATTTTCTTCGAAAAATTTTTGTATTGCAACATAACGAAATATGATATTGAACAATAATATTAAAAACTCATTATGTTTAATAAAAAAAAATCTTTTAAATAAATTTACAACCCCAGGATCTCGCAATTAGTTTCAACCGTTGTAATCCGAATGAAGTATTGTTTTAGGAATTTTATTTTTGCTTTAAGCAGTAGACACAAGTTTTGAAACTGTGAAAAAAACTTGTTATGATAAAATGTGAGATTTATGGTCTTTTGATTTGGGGTATCTGTTTCATTAGCAGGAGGGAATTGAGGTTAAATTCTGTGAGGGAGGATGAGTTAGCATATTCCTGACTTTTCAACCTTTCGATGTTATTGATATTTTAGAAACCTTGATAGACATCAAGGAAAGATTGATTCTGGAAGGTTATGAGCGACATGGCTCTACTGCAATACATGGGGCCTTTATAGGAGTTTTCAACTATTGCGTAAATAATTTCTTCAGCATTTGTAAAGGATTTAGAATTTTCAAATATTTTAGCTTCGAGCATCACTGCATTTAAAATGAATAGTTAATAACCTTGAAGTAAAGTTCAAGGTCAAGGTCAAAAGTCCTTTATATTGGAACATGATAAAGCAATGGTATCCTTTGCACTTGGAATTGAAGCATTTGTCCTTAAAAAGGGAAACGGAATTGATGTATTAAAACTAAGGAGTAACTATTGCTTATACTTGTTACATGCTAATCATAAAGTTTCGTATATTGAAAGAAAGCTAATAGTTCGTTATGTTTAAACTGCAAGCTATTCAAATCATATTTAGAATCAGTAAAAAGTAAACCCCTTTGTTGAACTAAAAATGCCTATTTATTACCCCGTTGGAATTATAGCAATATCGTTTTGAACCTCTTTTCCGATAAATAAACAAATAATAATCATATTAATGTTAAAAAGTAAACGACAACGGATCAAACTTTTTAAACAAAATTCTTGTATTCGAGACAGTAAGATTTTTCAACCCCAGGCAGAGATAGCCCTGGTCTTATTTGTCAAACATTTAGGAATTTTTGGTATTTAATTTTCTTCTACTTCGTGTTTAACTGGGCTTTTCAAAAGTTTTGATTTGAGTGCCACTGATGAGTCTTGTGAAGACGAATCGCGCGTCTGGCGTACCAAATTATAAGCCTTGTATCCTTGGGGAGATTTCAACTCATTTATACCTGAATTGAGAATAAGTGAAAATTTCCAGGTGAAAGATGTTGGTGAAACATCGAGTTTACTGAATTAAGTAATTTTATCAATATGTGGTAAGGTTACATCAATAAATAATTTTACGTTACGGTTGACAATAACGTCACGTATTTAATGAATATTCATGACGTAGAGGTCACAGATAATGGAATTTTTATCACGTGATATACCTACCTGAGTAACGGAAGCGTGGACATTTTGTACACTAACCAAAACGTCTTTCTGCTAGATTTTGTAATTATAATTTAAAAAAAACTGTTTAAAAACAAAAGTTCTTAAAACAAATCTTTACCTGCAGAATTTGATTTTGACCTTATTTTTTTTATTTTTGGGCTATTTTCGTTGTTAACTTTTTAGCGCGACCAATCCCTATATACTAGTATTTATTATAGTTTCCCGTACTTTTTATGTGGTCCGCTAAAGTAGAAGTACTCCTTAAATTCTCTTCAAATTCGTATTTGATTTGCCCTTTCACTTGTTTTAATTTAATCGATTTGATTTGGAATGGGAGATTAAGCTAGCTATAAAACCAGGTTTAACCTATCTTTTTTACCATGTTAAGAATATGACAGTTGCTCTTTCCACTCGATCCGTTGGTTGATATAGGCTAACGTTTGATTTTGTCAGGTTTTATGAACTTCCCTTTTTTGAATTTGCCTTGAAGTTCGGTATTTGTGTAATACTTTGTATGAACTTCCCCTTTTTTAAATTGACCTTGGAGTTAGGTAGAAGAGTTTCCATAGTTCCACATTAACACTTAATAACGTTACTATCTTATTATATAGTTGGTTCCGTTTTCAGGAATAAGTCGTGAAAGTTTAGGTAAAACGTTTTGTTTCTGAGACATATTAGACTCATTTTGCAACAATATATCTAAATTATTGTTTGCTTGTTTTTTTGTTTTTTGTTTTTTGTTTTTTTTTTTTTGTATTTCTTGTTGCGTAACAATATTTTAGCGATACATAACATTATACAGAAAATGACACTATACTGGCAATGGATTCTATATATTTTTTTAATATGATATCACTCATTTAGAACTTACTTTCATGTTTTCTTCAAAATACGGAAATGTCCATAATCTCTGTTATATTTGTGACCTTTATTTGGATAACAATAGTTTTTGGATTAATTCAATTAATTCATAAATAACTTTGCCAGTATTTTCTTATGAAATAATAAAATATCTTCAGGAAATAGAAATTATATTATCATTAAATCAATACAAAAAATAAAAGTACAATAAATATGTTTTTAACGGTTTTCGGTATTTGTGTTTGTATGTCAAATTATTTACCTATATTCTCTGATGCTCAGTTCAAATTAAAATCATAATCATGTTTATCATGGGAAATCCCTTTTTTATATGCCAAACGTAACGTTGCGTGCAAGAAAATAGGTCTCTAACGTTCAAGGTTAATCATGTGTATTATCATCCTTCCCTACTTCTATATCAGCTTCCTCAACATATCTGTAAAACTCGTATCCAGTTAGCGCGTGCAAGTGAGGAGACATTATCAAGTGAGCAGGACTTATTAAAAAATTTTCCCAACATATTGCCTTGTATTGTAATTGTGATAAGTCACCAAATAAATTCTTTTAATAAAATAAATTACACTTGCAGTACATATTTTACAATGAATCATTTCTTTTTTTCTAAAATTACTTTACATTCTGAAACGAGATGTTTATAAAATGGTGTCGACGGCATTCTTGATAAGTTCTGCCGGGACTACTTTTTTTAGAACTGAACTATTTGACCTAATTTGAACTATTGATCTGACCTGTATTGAGATCAATCTATCGATACAAATGTCAACAATGCGGGGGTGGCAGTTTAAATTATTAAAAACATTTATAGTGAACATAAAATTCACTGTAAAACTTATAATAAAAATTGATTAATTAAATGTACATATATTATACACTCTAGATTAAACATTTCATTTTAAATAATGAAATAGGGGAAAAAATCTACCACAAAACAACAACTCTCTTTCTGACAAGTCTAAAATACTTATTTCGTCTGCTAAAACAAAACAAAACGAAACAAACATACAAAATGGCTACTGACAAAGATAATGCTTTTGAAGACCAATCAAACAGACATGTTTTACTTCAATTCGGGGGAAATTCAGCAAATGAAAGTCAAAGTCAAACTGAGTGCATGTACATACATGTATCACTAATGTCGAATTATTTGATCCTGAATTACATATACAAAGTTTTCTCAAATTGCTTGCAAAACAAAGAAAAATAATTGTTTAATAAAAAAAGCACACATACAACAATTTATTATCATGTTCACTGCATATTAAATTGGCATCCTGAAAAATTCAACAAAAAGTCACAATTTAATGTTTTTGTTGTGAAAAATGGTGTAAATCACATATATTGGCTATATCTGTATATGTACATTGATAATTCACATGAAATAGACTGAAGAGGGCAAAATATTAAATGATTAATACATGTAAAACATGTTAAGATTCCATTTATAGTATTTACTGTTTCAGTGTAACTAAGTTAGGATTTGAACCTAAGACCTTCTCATAAAGAGATGCTCTGACCATTGAGCTACCTAGTTGAATACACTGAAAGCATAATTTTTTTCAAGAATCATAAACATGATGTACCTTGTCATTCTAACTCCAAGTCATCATAAGAATGATATATCAATGTACATGGACAAACAGAATGCAGCGAAGCAATTTTGTATAATATTTCAAAAATCCAGGTGATCTGGTTCTGTTATTTGTCAATACAGAAGAAAATATCTGACGGAAAATTTTTACATGTTTGAACCAAATATGTTTTCCTCAATAATAACATTTGGCAAAGCACTTATAGGAAATGGTACCCCATAACCTGAACCAGAATACCGTCCCAATGCAATTTGGTGGGGTAGTCGTTACAAAAATAACACCTACCTTCCTTGTCTTCTCACGTATCGTCCTGGTACCTGTTTTGACGCGGACCAGAAATGACGCACCGATTTAGTTTTCGGTTTTATATTTCTAAACAAAAGCCGTGACGTCATCAACATTTGCTGTTCATAACGTTATGGTGAAGGTCGTCTTACTACAACGAAGATGCCTAAAACTCCGCCCAGAAAGGTAATTATTACTTAAAATATTATAGACAATGTAATTTCCGCCATTTTATTAAGGTCAAAAACATCCTACCTTTCCCCGAGTGATTATCAGTCCTATATCCACTTTGGTCAATAAAAGTATGTAGCCGTCTGCTTCCTCATTTTGTGTTTTTCAAGTCACGTGACTGTCATGTGATGTGTTTTTACATTTTAGCGGGAATCACTGTAGAACAAATGATCGTCGCTTATATAATTTTCTATGGTTTATCGACTTTTTTCGTTCGATGTATGAAGTATACATTTATAATTGTATTATTGCCAATGCTGTTTTATTAATAAAATTACTTTTTATTGTCAAATATATTGGAAGATATATCACTTTCATAAATTTTGAACAATTATATATTAAATTTGAATAAAATTATAGGTAACAATTAAATTGAGATTAAAAAAATAATTTTTATTTTTTTTTTTATTTTCAGAAATTTACTAAAGCGTACAGAAAATATTCACCATCACAATTGAATAATGCATATCAGATAGTAAAAGAACAAGGCATTCCTATCCGGACAGCGGCACGTACATATGAAGTACCTGAAGCTACTCTACGACATAGACTGAGTGGCTATGTAAATCCTGAAGCTGTCAAGTCCGGACCAGCACCTTTATTTAATGAAGAAGATGAAGCAGATCTTGTTAATCACTTGAAGCTCATGGCTAGAGTGGGATATGGTTACAGCAGGTCAGAAGTAATAGATATTGCAACAAATTATGCCATTTACAAAGGATTAAGGGACAGTGAACATCCATTATCAACAAAGTGGTATAAAAACTTCATGGCTCGTTGGCCAGATTTAAAAATCATTAAACCAAGAAGTCTTGAAATGCAGCGTGCAAAAGCTACATCTGAGGTCAATGTGCAGAACTATTACTCTGAACTTCACAAAATTTTGGAAAAATATGATCTGTTTGATAAACCAGAAAGAATTTACAATGTTGATGAAAAAGGAATATGCACTAACCATAAGTCTCCATATGTTATTGCAGCTACAGGATCTACACCACCAGCTATTACTTCAGGGGACAAACACTTGGTCACAGTCTTAGGGTGTGGAAATGCACAAGGCCACAGTGTGCCACCGTTCTTCGTATTTCCTGGTAACAGGATGAGACAAGAACTTCTTGAAAATAAGTCAACAGGTGCAGACGGTGATGTTTCAGAAAGCGGCTGGTCTAATACAGAAATTTTCCGCAAATACATGGCGAATCATCTTTTGAAATACATACCCCACAGAACATCTGATGTTCCAGTATTAATTCTTTTTGATGGACATAAATCCCATATTTCATTGGAACTAATTGAATGGGCAAGAAAAGAAAATATTATTTTGTTTGTCTTACCTGCACATACAAGCCACATTCTCCAACCTATGGATGTAGGATGCTTTGGACCTTTTGAAAGGATTTTTAATAATGAGTGCCACAAATTTATGCGGCAAAACTGTTCACAACCAATAACACGTTATAATATATGTGGTCTGGCTTGTAAGGGTTATCTCCATGCACTTTCACCTAGCAATTTGCAAAGTGCATTTAGAAAAACTGGGATTTACCCGTATGATCCTCACATGGTTGATCGTTCCAATTTTGCACCAGCACAAGTGTTCATTCAAGAAGATTCCATAGAAGAAACATGTGAAACTGAAGACAGAGAACCTGTACATGAAATTGAACCAATTGAGAAAGATATAGATGTACCTGTTGAAGAAATTGAAATTAACATAAACAATGTGAAGAAAATGAACATGCTTTAACAATCAATGAAACACAAGAAAAAACAGTGTCGGAGAAGAATGACACTTTTTTTGAAGATCGAGAGAAAAACCTATTCAAAAAGAAACCTAGAACTAAACAAAGACGCTATCTGAGCAAAGTTGTAAGTGGGAAGGCAATTACAGAGAATGATACAATTGAAAAAATTAAAGAACATAAGGAGAATGTAAGCAGAAAACCAAGTCAGAAAAGTCAGAAAAGTAAATCAAATGAGAAAGGAAAACAGTTAGCTAAACCTTCAAAATCATCAAAACAAGTGAAGTCAAAAAGAGTTCCAAAAAAGACAATAACAGTTGTTGATGGGCCGTGTGCTGGTACTTCTGGACTTAATTTGCGAGGAGGGCCCATAAGTATTGATGATTCAATGGACTCTGATGTAATAGAAGATGAAGAACCTTGCTGCGTATGCAAACTTACTGGCCTACCTCAAGAACTCAGGAACTGTAATTTTATAGTGTTTGCCAATTGGGGACAGTGTACACTCGAAAATTGTGGTCATTGGGTACATCTGAAATATTGTTGTGACAAAACCGTGCTTAGGAGGCATGACACTTTTTTATGTCCTTGTCACAGTACCTCAACAGAGGAATAAGAGAACCCATAGCTATAACATTCTATTTTTATCAATCAAGGGAACAATATAAACAATTAATATTAAATTCACATTGCTTTTGTGTTACTATTATTAAAGTGAATGAAAATCTCAAAAGTTGTTAATAAAATTGAATTTGTTAACAGTGTTAACTTTAAAGAATCCAGACTGAAGCAATTTTTCGATTATCAGGTACGTGTAAGTGGTTTTTACTGGTTTGTTTACAATGCGTCATTACTGGTACCCATCATTAGTTGGCAGTCCGTACGTAATGTTAGCAAACATGATTTTTATTGCTGTTACCGTTTCAAATATCAACTGCTTAATGACTGAAATATATTAATAGTTATCAATCTTTTATTCCATTCCGTTTTTCTAATTCTTTTAAATGGTGGATTAAATGCAGAGAAAAAAACAACCTTAGGTGCGTCATTACTGGTTCCTCGGGGATACAAATGGCGGTACAAGGTGCGAGATGTCGAGGTATTTACATACAAGAAGGACAATTTATCAACATCTGTCTTTCTCAAATTAACTTTTCCTTTACGAATTACGACTACTTAAATATATATGTGTACTTTTAGTATTGAAAACAAACAGCATTTTGATGCGTTTCTGGAATTTTTTTATGAAGCGTATGCTGTTCAGCAGTCAGCGGGTAGACATTTTCTTCTTCTGGTGATTTGAAATACTACGATCTTTCAATATAATCTTTAATATTTCTTTTTTTTTGTATCATCTTCAAATATTATACTCTCATATATGCATTATTATGTACACGAAACATTTTTCTAATCTAGTTAATGGGAATATTTTCAAGTACCCTGCGTATTTTGGCCACAAGTGTATCCGCGGTTTAATATTTTGATGACGTGGGTTGCCTAGTAATAACAGAGACACTCTGGTAATAACAATTCCCGCGAAATTATTGAAAAAGGAAATTTTGATAAAAAACATTGCTTTGAAAGATGATAAAAATGTTATCTGAATGTGGATTGTATAGATATTGAAAAATATCAGCCCCCTCGACAGAAAATGAAGCTAAATGGCTCGTTCGCTACGCTCACTCGACATTTAGCTTCATATTCTGGCTCGCGGGCTGATATTTTTCTATATCTACATATCCACATCCAGGTAACATGTACTTATTGTCAGCGAGTACATAGATATTTGATTATATAGAAAGCAAGCACGATTCCATCCGTCTTGACACAGATCTAGAAATATAAAGCATGTAAATAGAAGTAACTAAAGAAATGTAGGATTAAGAACAAGATGGAAAACAAAGATGTTATTTGAATGCCACATGTTGGTGGAATTTCGTAACGCAAAATCGGCAACAGTCAAATTAGCTGGGAACGACGTTAAGTTCACACAAAGGTATTACCGCGTTATTTAACGTTTACAACAATTTTTTTTTAGAATTTTAATTACTGTAAGTACTTTTTCAGGTACGTCAGATTATACCAGCGTAACAGGATCAAGACAAACATCCGAGAACGTCACAGGTACGAGTTAGAAATGTTATAAGTTAATGGTAATAACACGCTTTTACCATCTTGTTATTCCGTTTATTTCTTATACATGAATCCTTTCTTCTTTACACATTTCACACCAATATGGAAAATTTTAAAAAAGAAAAAAATACTAAGGGGACAATCAAAATAGATAACTTGAAGGTAAACAACACTTTTCCAAAAAAACTAAAGTTGGAGACGAAAATAGCAAAATTTAACAAAACACTTCACAAAAAAATTGTAATTGTAACAAAATAACTACCAAAATCCTTGGTGTAAACTTACGTACAAAATGAAGGCTAAGCAGCTAATGATTTACCTAATAGTCAAGTGAAAATCTGTTGATATGTCACATTCGATGAAAAAAAAGAAAAATGGTGGCTCAAACTATGGTATGTATTCGTAGTGACACAGATTTTTTTAAACTGCCTACCAAAACATGCTTATCATTATAATTTAGTAGATAACTATCATGTAAGAACATTAGCTCGAAAAGTCCCGTGTTGACTATATCAAACAAAGATTTATTTCAATTCCCCTTAAAAGTTTTTTATACAAATATTATTTACAAAATATAAACTTCTGTCTTTTATTAATGAATTGGAAAAAGCGCCAACTACTTAAATTCTACATGTAAGTGAAATATTTGGTTAATTTTCTCATTACTATATATATAACATTTCGTCTCAACACTTCCATATTTTTCAACCAATTTTTCGATAAAACAATATTTGTGTATTTCTTATGAAAGTATATATGACCATCCCAACACTACACATTAATGATATTGCAACTAAAAAAATAACATACAGACAACGAGAACATTAAAGATCCAACAAAATCTTTTAATTGTGTGGACTATCATCCTGGTCTTCTTAGAAAACAGTATGGTTACCATTCTTGAAATGCTGGTTCTTTCTACCTTCTAGTATAAAGATAAGGAAATGTGAGTAATCGACGATGAGACATCCACGTCGCCACAAAATTAGATATCTGTATGTCAATCTATAATTGTAACAATAGACATTTGTCTCTACAATTTGTCAAGCTATGAATATCAACATGAGTATTACTTTTTTCAGGAATAGTTGTTGGTAGTGTAGCAGGCAGCGTCCTATTTTTATGTATAGTCTTTATTGGTATTTGCATCGGAAGTAGGTAATTGAATATGTATTATATTATTAAGACTTTTGATTCTAACAGTTATGTACAGCTACCTTTTTTAACACGAATAATTATTAGGTCTTTCCATTTTTCTGTGGAAAGACCTATTGGTTTTCTTCTGATTATTTGTTTTTCTTTTTTTCTTCTTCCGCCAAGTTTTGTTCTTGCGATAAATTTTGTTTCGCAAGATGTCGCTTACATGTTTCGTATATGATATCGAACAGTTTATGCGCCTTTGAAATTTACCCTGCTTAACCGAATACTTTTCTTTGTAGGAGTTATCTCCCCGAACACTGTTTTCCTTGTATGTGCATCTCCTCCGTAACCGTAAAAGAAAGCGACAAATTTATTTTACCAAATTGGTCGTTATATCCTCAGGATGTTTTGTCCAATTTTGACCGAAGCGATACGTAAACTCCATATGAGAGTTATTTCCCCTTCTGTATTTGACATAAGATATATAAATGTATAGCATAAATGGTAATTGATAGAGACCTAAGGTATATTGATTTGAGTTCCTTGGTTCATTTAAATGAAATTGAGGCCAAGGTCAAAGGTCAAGGTCATATTCTAAATTTTGACTTTTCCTTGTTATTTGATCTCCTCTGTCACTTTTAAAATTACAAATTAAAGAACCAGTGCAAAATGTTTGCTTAATTGTGATTAAGATATGATACATCTGGTCTGAAACAATCCAATGATATCTTATAGGAGTTATTGTCCCTGAAATGATTCAATTTAAGGTTAATTGATTATTACTCCAACTTGGTACATGATAAAGCCATAGGGTCTTTTGCAAACTGTTGGTTGACATATGATCTTGAAAAAAATAAACCGGAAGTGACCTTGAGTGAACCGGAAGTAGTATATTTTGCATTTATTTCATGGAAAAGTACATAGGAACCATATATTTTTTGAATGATCATAGGTTAACCTATCATTTGAGACCGAAAGTGACATTTAATAAACCGGAAGAAGCATATTATCTTCCTTATTACAGGCATAAGTATATACAAACTATATATTTTTGGAATCAGTGTGAATAAAGCTATCATATGAGACCGGAAGTGCCATTTTCTATACCGGAAGTTGGCAATTATCTCCCTTATTTCAGGCAAAAGTATATAGAAACCATTTATTTATTGAATCAGTATGAAGAAATCTATACTTTGACGCTATTAATAACTTTAAGTAAACCAGAAGTAGCTTCCTATCAATTATTTAGAAAATTGACGTGGAAAGACCTTCAATTGTTCTTTGAACAATTGGTTTTTAATTGTATTTATTTTGTTAATGTTACATAAATCAATTAATTTTTATATAGTGTATTCAGAATCAATGTTAAAATTTCATTCCTAGTGATGAATATAAACAGAGAAAAATTTCCACCACATAGACGAAATTTACTTAAGAAAAGAGTACTTGGTTTTGTGGATTCTTTCAAAGAATTTTCTTTTTTCTTTTTTTATTAATTCTATTGATTGGTTATACATACAAAAACATACACTTTTGTTGTTATTATAGGCTTGTGTCATGTGATAAATCCAAAGAAAAGTTAAGAAACAATCCCGAAACGAATGACTATATTGGGAACCAAAACATAGCATTGCCACAGGCAGTAAGTCCTACGCGTCATGTGCAGTATGAAGATTTGCATACTACGTCTGGAAATAGAAGTACTCGTAATTATTCAAGTACAAATATTCATTTACAAAATATCGATGATAAATATGATTACGCCAAGAACATAGTAAAAAATAACTCCAAGACATCTAACGACAAGTCGAGTACACCTACATATGTTGTGCTTCAGGATGATAGTTATAAACGCAATCCGGAAGCAAACAACGATGAATATGCCGTTGTTGATCCTACAGCTGAATCAAGTTTCAAACAAACACCAAAAACCTTAACCCAAGGGGCAGAAAATTATATGATTTTAGACCCAAATCAGACTGGGATCAATAGGTCCAAATTTCCGAATGCTGGCCAATCGTACGAGCTTGCAAAACCTATCCGTGATACAAAGGACCGGAAGAATGATCTGTATGCTCTGTCTTCAGAGGGTACTTACGATCATTCGGGAATTACTCGTCATCACAAAGAACAAGATACCATTTATACCCACGCCGTCGACAATGTTTATGATTCTACAAGTCGAGGATTGAATATTGACAGGAAGGAAGACACATATGATCATTTCTTTGGACAAGAAACAGAGGATGAATATAATATTTCTATGCATTAATAATCTTTGGTTACTACTATCAAGTGTTCAATCACATTCAAAAACTTAAAATGCTCACGTTGGTTGACTTTTTATCGCGAAGTTAACATTTTAATTAATAATGAAGTGCTTATTACTACAATTGATAATGTCAGTGCTGATTTCATTATTTTGTTTTAATAAATTTTTACATTGTCAAGTTAAATTAAATTTTGATCAAATGTGTTTACTATGAATACAACATTAGTTAATAATTACATCACATGTATATTTCATTAGAATCTCTACTTTTGATTGGCTGAAAGCAATCGCGAAGCATTACAAAATCAATAAAATTCAAGATTCATGACTGCGCGTGCTTCCCATGACAACGGAAAGTTTAACAAAAATTTTGATATAATTCGTAATTTCCTAGTTGTAGCATATAAATGTAATTCATTGAATTGAATGCTTCTTTTTTATCATTTTTTAGGGTTGTAAAAGCGTTGATCGTGCGCACATTTCTTGATTATAGAAAATTATACAAATAATAAGAGATATTATATGAAAACAAAACTTCCGTGTATTCATTTTTGCACGACATCATATGATAAGGATACCTTTTAAGATAAAAAAAAAACAACAAATTGAGTGCGCATATACCGAAAAAAAAATATAATGATAGGTATTTTATACTCAAAACGCAAATAGAAAGAATGAAAAATGAATAACAATAATCTCAGATCTAATATATGATATTTATAATATGCGTATAATGTGTTGCTTTATTAAATGATAGTAACAACTCTTTTCGTGATCTTTCATATTAACCCATTTCTCTGACGTCAGTCTATTGTTCTAACTGTAGATTATTTTTCAAGAATCCACTGACCACAGTATTAACTTAAGAGAACTTGTATTATAACTTTAAACTTTTAACTTACGATCTTTTATCCTCTCAAAAACGAGTGGCATGTGTAGGATTCGAACCCGTGCGTATTTTCTTCATAACCAATAGAGTCTTCAGTCTATGCATGATACCACTAGACCACGATGGCTGACATCAATCAGTTTCTGAATAGTACTATTAAAGCGCTTAATTGTCAATATTTGTCATTTTACTGTATTTCTGTCTAATTGATTATTCGCTTTTGTAATCTAATGAAATATATATATCTTGGTTTGTTCATGTTTATTGAATTTGTTTTATTTTGGGTGTTATATTCTTTTAAAGAAATGGACTAAAACTACTTCTTTGACAGTAAAAATAGAAACAAAATCATCGCCATTATATGAAAATGAAATATATAATACTTCTACATGTTCTAGGATTAAAACAATATTTTGGTCCAGAAAAAAATTGCAATGAAAAAATTCATTCCGGGTACAAGGTTCGAACTTTGCACTGTTAATATCACCGTTATGACCTTCGTTACCAACGACTAGACGATCACAGCTATGAACAGCTTGATGGTAAGTTTATGAAATCAACATAATTATTCATTGTATATCCGTAGCAAGAGCAATTCTGATGGGGATTCAGAATGCATACCACAGATAAAACTAGTTTATTGACCGGTGAACGATATATGCCAAATGCAATAACTTTAAAATAAGCTTTATGAAAATGCAGATTTATGACATCTACGCAAATAATGTCTATTTGACTATGAACGGTTTAACGGTGTCTAGTTTGAACAAGATATACCAAATGATGTTGCTAAATAATATTTATATAAATTTTGAAGGTTCTAAATTTTGGTAAATAAAATTTTTTAACTTTTCAAAACAAGATAAATAAATTCTGTATATTAATATATGTCTTTTTGAATAAATTAGATATACCAAAATCTATTCAATTTAAATAATTTGTAATGATTACACATTAAATGAAATATGTATATACAAAAATGAAATCTGGTGTTAAAATGGGGAGCTAACACCCAATTTAAGTTATATTAAACTTATGTTAACTTGTCAAATGTCTATATATAGATGCGAACCGTGTGGATATAATCATTTCCAGCTATTATAGAATAAAAAAGACAAAATACGAAACTATTTTTATGAAATATCGTTTATTCATTGTCAAAACGTAAAACAGACTGCGGTTTTACTAGAAATGGGTTAAGCTAGAGAATTGATAAGAAGTAGTGGATTCGGAACCGATATTCAACTTGCGACTAAAGTCGCTCGTTGATTATCGTTTACGAATCCACTACTTCTTATCAATTCTCTACTACATAATATATTATAAAATGTATTTTGTACCTTTCTTATTGTAGTAAATCCTTGTTACAATTGTTTAAACTTGCGGAAATTATTACACTATGGTTTGATTATAATTATTTTTTATGCATCCACAAAACAAACAACTATATAATAAACCATTTTTAGCATATTTTTGTTGTCTCTTTTTTGTTTGTCTTATGATTCAATATCCATCAAATCATGGTGAATAGTCAAGGACTGACATTTTGTTTTATTATTATTTTTCAAGATGAAATTTATATTGCATATTATGTGTTTGGATTCATAAAATTTAATTCTAAAACATAGGAAACTTCAAGAACTGAGTTTATAAGTCACTCATCAAACATACATGTACTTTAAAATATACATGACGTATTTAAATGGGGTATTATATGCCAAATTCATAACATCCGAGTTGACTCGACCTCTCACATTTTACAAATAATGTACTGAAATCTCTATTCTAATTACGAAAATTCCATACGATACAAAACAATGCATGAACATGATGGAATCGAAAAACAAATGTTGGAATAAACGCAACCGAATTAACCATCGACATGACCTCAAATATATATCACCGAACAATTTGTGAGTCTGATATAAATATAAAAAGATAAGCAGATATAATTAATAGCACGTGCCAAAGTAACTATAATGACGATTTTCTGTTTTATTTCATACAATAGATAAAAAAAAAGGTACACCATCGTTTTATCTGTAATCTGGATAGATTGACTTTTTGTCTCGAAATCAGCGTTACTGTTGAATACCTGGTTTCATTTGTTCAACAGCCATTCGTTTCAATAACTGAGCCTGCTTATCGCATGCATATGCATATGGATCCAAACGAATTATTGTCTTCCAGTCAATTATGTATCGTTTTGTGGTTTATTTTGAAAACAAATTGAACCAAATTAAACGCTAATACCGAATAATTATACAATTCAATATTCCGCTGTTGTAAATGTTTGAAACAAAAAAGAATCATACCATGATGAATACTTTCAAAATCGTACCTAATACCGATTTATTTTAACAAAAGGTTTTCAAAATTAAAATAAAAAATTGGGAAATTTATTAAAAGCTTACAACTTAATACTTCAAACCATAAAATACTTCAGTTATAAAAGGAATGAAAGACTTCATCAATTTAGAAATTAGCATAACCATAATCCATAAGAAGTTGTAGTTCGAAAACCTATCTTATAAAATTGATAATGGAAATGGGGAATGTGTCAAAGAGACAACAACCCGACCATAGAGCAGACAACAGCCGAAGGCCACCTAATACACATTTGACCGTTATCCTCCAGTATTAATTGCAAAATTTATACGATATTCGATAACTCAATAGATAGTCAAATTTATTTTAAAAAAATCATTTTTTTATATCATTTTGTCTGTCTTAGGTACGAACCGTGTTGATACACATAAATTACTCGTAGCAGACTATTCACTTGCTGCAATTATATCAATTTTCGGTCTATATCTTTGAAGGTCTTTACACAATAAAGAACTATCCACTGTTTCATTGTTCTGATGTAATAACGAAGAGAACAGAGAATCATTATATCTGAACCTAAGACTGACAAGTCTATAATTCGACACTCAATAGTTTACACAATGAAATGATCAATTTCAACTAATAAAAATAGAAATATTTGGAAGGTTAAAATACCGAAAATTTGCTTTAACCTCGACAAAAGATTTGAGCCTGTTGCAAGCCCTAAAACGTGTCAGTAGTTGTCGAATGTCATGGCTCAATTTATTTTGTCATTTATATCACTCGGTATTTATGGCATATCTTTGACTGTTTGTGCTAAATTTATTCACAACTTTCATTTATAGACTCGAAACGATTCCGAGCTTGATATATTGAAAGGACACCTGTATGTTTTTGAAGATTGCATCTTGCCTCCTAAAAGTCAATTTGGTTGATTTTTTTCGACGGTTGGGTTCCTCATTGACGTACACCCCACATCTCCTTTTTTCAAAGTACAAATTAATACGTTGTTCACATTTGGTGTTTAAACAGCAGTCCACATAGCTTATTTATGACAGAACATCAAGTGTCAGGTTGGATACAGAAGTGGTAACCACAAGTGTTTGTAAAAGGCCGAAACATAGGAAAGGATTTTTTAAGCGCATTGTCTTTCGTACAGGGAATCGGATTTGGTTATCTCCCGAAAAAGTACGGATTGCATTTATGATATCATGATTTCGCCGTCTTATTGTGATCTATTCCTTGGTACGCGAAAGCGTCATCCTTTGAGGGAAATAACTAATTTTAATTTTAAAAGCTGGCCTTAATAATTTCTACATAATCGCTGGTGTACGTTGATGTTTTTGAGAATGCATGTTGATGCTTCTGATGAAGGATGCCCTTGATTAATTCTTGTCCTATGCTACTTTCGTTTTCTTGCGAGTATCTCAAAACACTTTGCTACCTCTGCTACCCTGCTAAACTGTCGACAACGTGGTCCATCACCCGCTCAACATATTATCAAGGGAGGACGTATGATCAGAGCCATCTTTTGGTCAAAAACATTTTCAAAATGTCAATATGAGGCTACTTTTGACAGTTTTTCACTAATGAATTGAAGCACTTTGCAAATATCATGAATATATAAGGCAAAGAAAATATGAAATATCATGACTGTACTAATGACATCTGAAAGGTTGTATTTGGTAGATTAACAATACGTTCTAATTTTCATATTCAAGGGGCTCAAAAAAGTGGCCTTTATAACATACCTTCTCCGTTTAAAAGCTAAAACCGGTAATATTTTCAAATGAATCACAGCGAACAAGTGTGACATATGACAGAAGTAAAATGTCACGACTAAAAGTTGCTCTACTAATCCAAGACACTGAAACATATTTCTAGTTGAAAATTGTGCAAAATGCATGCATTGTACGCATGATTTTAATAAAATGTTAGGGAAATTTTGTTACCCTGTTTTCTGTAAGTAGATGAAAAAAAATT